TCTAGTTCTGTTCTAGTTCTGTTCTAGTTCTGTTCTAGTTCTGTTCTGTTCTAGTTCTGTTCTAGTTCTGTTCGAACAATATTTCAATGTGATATAATAGTACATATAATATGATGTAATATAATAACAGAATATAATAAGATTTTCTTTTAAGTGTATGGACCACGTTCTGCAGCAAATAAGCAAAAAGATGTTTAAATTCAAATTGGAATTTAATTCAGTTTTTTATAAAATTATTTGTTAAATCACAAATGAGAAGCAAATTTTCATAGGAGACTTTTGGTTGGTAAGTCCATTGTTTACCGACGGCAAGAACAACAAAGAAAAAAAAGTAAAATTTAATAATAAAACCAATCGATATAGCATAAAAAAAGCAGCTGTACTTTATCAAAACACAAAGGACACGCATTAAACTCGTGCTATTGTATGCGTTAAAATCTCTTCCTTTCGCATATTTTGTTGCCTAATGTTGTTTAGCTTTGTGTCTGTGAAAATCGTAGCTGTCAAGAGTATCGGTTAGAGTCAGTCGAGGTCCAAACACCATTAGACCATTAGTCATTTTGCATTTATTAACATTTTTGATGAAGCAATTCTCTATCCTGTTCTTTTCATTCATTCATATAAAATGAAGAATTTTTTTCTGCTGTTTTTATCACTAGCCAAGAGCAAAATTTACGAAAATAAAAAATGGCATATGAATGAGCTTGAAATGTAAATATTATGAATGTGAGTATTTCTACACCATCCACCACCATCAGTGGTGATAGAGGGTATATATTACTTTGTCATTCCGTGTGTAACACCAAGAAATATTCATCTCAGACCCAACAAAGTATATATATTCTGGGTCCTTATCAAATTCTGAGTCGATTTAGCTATGTCCGTCTGTCTGTGTAAAACACGCTCACGATAGAACAAAGCAATAAAATTTAACCAAATTCACCCAAAATGTTCCTCATTTTCCTAAGTTGTTTTGTATTGAAAATGGGCAAAATCAGTTCACACCGGGAAAAGTTATAAATCAAAAATTAAAACAACCTGGAAAAAAATAAGCATTTTTCACACATTCTGATGTAAAATTCTCGAAAACTATGCAAGATAATTCCATGGAAATCACCATACATTCGTTTCTACACAAGATCTTGATCCATGGTGGAAATTACTAGAATCGTTCTGCAATTTTATGTACCTCCCATACAAAAGTACATATTCCCGGAAAATGGGTTTTTTGTTAATAACTTCCGTCACAATGCCGATATCTTCACAAAATTTTACAAATTAAAATCTTATGTCAATAGCATTTATTCTGAGAAAAAATTTTCTGGATCGGTCCATAATTGGACATAGCTCCCATACAAGGTCCCCTCACGAAAATCACATAAACGCGCATAACTCATTACCAAATTAAGATATCCATATAAAATTTGGTATAAGTATTGTCCATATGCATAGAAATATTGCTGTGAATGTTTTTTCCTATCGGTCCATAATTGGTCATAGCTTCCATACACGGTCCCCTCCCGAAAATCACTTAAACGCGCATAACTCATTACTAAATTAAGATATCCATGTAAAATTTAGTATAAGTATTGCTCATATGCATAAAAATATTTTTTTCGATCGGTCCATAATTGGTCATAGCTCCCATACCGAAAATCACTTCAACGCGCATAATTTTATATACATAATTGGTCATAGCTCCCATACAAGGTCCTGTTACGAAAATCTCTTAAACGCACATTATTCATTACCAAATAAAGCTATTGATACAAAATTTGGCACAAATATTAGTTTTGTATACAAAAATTCTATTTCAAGATTTTTTCACGATTGGTTCATAACATTGGTTCAGAAAATCTCTTAAACACACATTACTTATTACTAGCATTAATATAAAAGTATCTGGAGGAGGGTATTTAAGATTCGGCTCAGCCTAATATAGCACTCTAACTTGTTTCACAGTTAGAATGTGTACTGGGTCCATTTACTTTCCCTCCCCGATATGTTTGTATTTTAAGGATTGTGTGAGTACTCTTTTGTTGGTTTTGTCGAATTTGCATTTATTAAATGCATAAACAGATATAGAAGAGCAACAACTCTACAGCAGACGTAGTACAAAAGAATGATTATGTATGTCAACATTTTGATTTGATTATTGTAATGTAAATGGAACAGGGAACGTTAAAGTAAATTTGTAATATTATTATTATTTTTTTCAATTTTTTGCATTTGTTTATTCAACCAAGAAATTTAATTTAAATTTGTGTATGAACACTCATGAGAGTTTGCTTTTTAATCCGATTTTTCCCTTAGAGATTTAATTTGAAAAAACTTATACTGTTTTGTTGATTGAGAACGAAATTAAAGTACAGATATCTTTAAACGAAATGTAATGTTTCGGATTAGACGTTAATATCAGATAATATAGTGACATTATTTTGGTATACAAATCGAAATATAACAGTTTTTTGATTAGATTTAAATGTGCGGTTTGCTCAGTTGATTAGATTTATTCTAAGTGTGCCGGTTTTCATTCTAGTTCAGTTCTAGTCTGTTGGTCTTAGTTCAGTTCTCGCTTTTAGTTCAGTTCTAGTTCAGTTCTAGTTCAGTTCTAGTTCAGTTTCGTTCAGTTCTAGTTCAGTTCTAGTTCTAGTCAGTTCTAGTTCAGTTCTAGTTCAGTTCTAGTTCAGTTCTAGTTCAGTTCTAGTTCAGTTCTAGTTCAGTTCTAGTTCAGTTCTAGTTCAGTTCTAGTTCAGTTCTAGTTCAGTTCTAGTTCAGTTCTAGTTCAGTTCTAGTTCAGTTCTAGTTCAGTTCTAGTTCAGTTCTAGTTCAGTTCTAGTTCAGTTCTAGTTCAGTTCTAGTTCAGTTCTAGTCAGTTCTAGTTCAGTTCTAGTTCAGTTCTAGTTCAGTTCTAGTTCAGTCTAGTTCAGTTCTAGTTCAGTTCTAGTTCAGTTCTAGTTCAGTTCTAGTCAGTTCTAGTTCAGTTCTAGTTCAGTTCTAGTTCAGTTCTAGTTCAGTTCTAGTTCAGTTCTAGTTCAGTTCTAGTTCAGTTCTAGTTCAGTTCTAGTTCAGTTCTAGTTCAGTTCTAGTTCAGTTCTAGTTCAGTTCTAGTTCAGTTCTAGTTCAGTTCTAGTTCAGTTCTAGTTCAGTTCTAGTTCAGTTCTAGTTCAGTTCTAGTTCAGTTCAGTTCTAGTTCAGTTCTAGTTCAGTTCTAGTTCAGTTCTAGTTCAGTTCTAGTTCAGTTCTAGTTCAGTTCTAGTTCAGTTCTAGTTCAGTTCTAGTTCAGTTCTAGTTTCAGTTCTAGTTCAGTTCTAGTTCAGTTCTAGTTCAGTTCTAGTTCAGTTCTAGTTCAGTTCTAGTTCAGTTAGTTCTAGTTCAGTTCTAGTTCAGTTCTAGTTCAGTTCTAGTTCAGTTCTAGTTCAGTTCTAGTTCAGTTCTAGTTCAGTTCTAGTTCAGTTCTAGTTCAGTTCTAGTTCAGTTCTAGTTCAGTTCTAGTTCAGTCTAGTTTCAGTTCTAGTTCAGTTCTAGTTCAGTTCTAGTTCAGTTCTAGTTCAGTTTCTAGTTCAGTTCTAGTTCAGTTCTAGTTCAGTTCTAGTTCAGTTCTAGTTCAGTTCTAGTTCAGTTCTAGTTCAGTTCTAGTTCAGTTCTAGTTCAGTTCTAGTTCAGTTCTAGTTCAGTTCTAGTTCAGTTCTAGTTCAGTTCTAGTTCCGTTCTAGTCAGTCAGTTCAGTTCAGTTCTAGTTCAGTTCTAGTTCAGTTCTAGTTCAGTTCTAGTTCAGTTCTAGTTCAGTTCTAGTTCAGTTCTAGTTCAGTTCTAGTTCAGTTCTAGTTCAGTTCTAGTTCAGTTCTAGTTCAGTTCTAGTTCAGTTCTAGTTCAGTTCTAGTTCAGTTCTAGTTCAGTTCTAGTTCAATTCAGTTTCGATATTTAATTTATAACCCCTAATATTCATTCCACTAAGTTGTTAATTATTTTTTTCACTATCTCTTTTTCGTCATAAATATTTTCGTTGCGTTAACATTAAGTATAATCCCTAAAATATGTATTTAATTAAAAAATACTTTTCCTTTTGCAATTATCAAAAGTTTATTTTTCTTCTTGGTTCACCAATAAAAAGTGAAATTTAATTAAAATAAAAATTTTTGTGTAAAGTAAGCACAAATAAATGGAAAATGAACGAAATAAAGAAAAAGTAAAAAAATAAATTAAATGTAAAGTTGTTACATAAATTTTCAAACATTTAAATAAACCTCCACTCTACGCAAATACACATACCTAACCACCCACATACACATTCAAATAAAGTTTGTATTTAAATAAAATTCTTACATATTTACATTACCGTACATCAATACTTTGAGATATTTGCATATTTCAAGTGACACAGTTACAACCCAAATAACCACCCACTAAAATTAAACGTAAAATAACAAAATGTTTTCAGCACAGCTAGGGCAATACCACTGTTATTGTTTCTTGAACTTTGGAATAAGCCACTTCTTTTTTACCATTTTTCTCCACAAATCGTTTTTGTTTTATTCTTCGTTTAATTTTTATAAAAAGTTATTTTTACCGTTGTCATTGTTCAGTATTGCTAAAGGTATTTTCATAATCATATACCCTACACTATATTTTCTTTAGAAACGTAACGGCAACTTTTTGGAAAAATCCATATTCTGCAAATGTATCAAACTTAAAATCAGCCTCAGAAATTTCTCAAGAAAATTGTCTGCTGAAAACAAAAACACAATTTTCCATGGAAAGTTCTCCACATTATAATAGACATAAATTTTTTTATAGAAAACTGTCTGCTCAATAGAAGACACACAGTTTTCAAAAGAAAACTGTCTGCTCTATATCAGACAAAAAGTTTTCTATAGAAAACAGTCTGACCTGTAGCAGATGCACAGTTTGCAACAGCTGTATAAAATTCACACAATTTTAAATAGCAGACACAATGTTTTCTATAGAGAGCTATAAAATACTTCATTATTTTAATAAAAACAAATTCAATATTTATTAAAAAATAAAATAATTTGTTAAAGAAAACAAAATACACTGAAAAATTTGAAACTAAAAACTCAACTGACACAACAAAGCTGTCCCCCTAATAATCCAATGTGAAGTATCTGTGTTTGGATTACATTCCAAAAGCATGCCAACCACAAAATTTGTACTGTGACCCGTGGTAGAGAGTACACCACGCCTTTCGGCCGTTTTGTAGAGAGGACATACATAAATATGTCTAGCTTTAAGATCGGATTTCTTTACTGGTTTCATCCATATTAAAGGCATACGATCGAACAGTTCACGTGGATGTGATTCAGCTAAATAGTTTTCAATGCGATCCCATCTGGCTCCTTCTAGAAATATACCATAAACATAAACACCATCTTCGGGTGCATTTACACCGGCAATTTGATCTTCTTCAATACGCAAGACTTCATAGTCGAAAACGAGTAAATCGATGGGTATAACATATTTTCGGGCAAAATTCTGTTGTGCTCCAGTTAGGAATGCTTGAGTAAAGAAAAATCCCGAAAGCCAATAGGTGGTGGGTGGACCTTCTTCGTACCATTTCTAGAAAGACAATCGAAAAGTTTATTGTTATGTTATTGAAAGTTCAAAAAATCTCAAGTTCCTTTTGCAAAGGTAATACAATATAGATAGATAGATAGATAGATAGATAGATAGATAGATAGATAGATAGATAGATAGATAGATAGATAGATAGATAGATAGATAGATAGATAGATAGATAGATAGATAGATAGATAGATAGATAGATAGATAGATAGATAGATAGATAGATAGATAGATAGATAGATAGATAGATAGATAGATAGATAGATAGATAGATAGATAGATAGATAGATAGATAGATAGATAGATAGATAGATAGATAGATAGATAGATAGATAGATAGATAGATAGATAGATAGATAGATAGATAGATAGATAGATAGATAGATAGATAGATAGATAGATAGATAGATAGATAGTAGATAGATAGATAGATAGATAGATAGATAGATAGATAGATAGATAGATAGATAGATAGATAGATAGATAGATAGATAGATAGATAGATAGATAGATAGATAGATAGATAGATAGATAGATAGATAGATAGATAGATAGATAGATAGATAGATAGATAGATAGATAGATAGATAGATAGATAGATAGATAGATAGATAGATAGATAGATAGATAGATAGATAGATAGATAGATAGATAGATAGATAGATAGATAGATAGATAGATAGATAGATAGATAGATAGATAGATAGATAGATAGATAGATAGATAGATAGATAGATAGATAGATAGATAGATAGATAGATAGATAGATAGATAGATAGATAGATAGATAGATAGATAGATAGATAGATAGATAGATAGATAGATAGATAGATAGATAGATAGATAGATAGATAGATAGATAGATAGATAGATAGATAGATAGATAGATAGATAGATAGATAGATAGATAGATAGATAGATAGATAGATAGATAGATAGATAGATAGATAGATAGATAGATAGATAGATAGATAGATAGATAGATAGATAGATAGATAGATAGATAGATAGATAGATAGATAGATAGATAGATAGATAGATAGATAGATAGATAGATAGATAGATAGATAGATAGATAGATAGATAGATAGATAGATAGATAGATAGATAGATAGATAGAGAGATAAATAAATAGCAGAGATTGGATCATAAAACTGTAATTCTTAATGCAAACACATAGGTGTATTTTCTTAATTTTTTTCAGTGTATTATATCTTTAATATTTGACAACTAACAGAAATGTGTTTATTTCCTTTTTATGTAACTCTTTTTTCCTTTTTATTCAACTTACATGATTACCCAAATATTTTCCATTCTGCGAAAGGTCATGTACCTATAAACATTTCATATACTATCCTACCAATTCTAGCCCACTTTCTAAATAAAATGTTGCCTAGTTACAGTCAAAAAATCCTTTTTTTTAATACAATAGGAAAAGATATTAGCTTACCTGTAAAAATGCTAAACGACGCAGGAAGTCAGTGATGTAAGCACCTAAAGGCTTTAGACTGGGGTAGGATTTGGAAGCCCACATAGCAGGAATTTTACTGATTAAAATCGATTTGTAAACCGATTCATAAGCGGCAGACATTACAACTAAACCTGCAAACAAAAAAGTAACAAAAATAAATATTTACGATAAAAATGGATAAGACGAAAATGTAAACATTTTTTAAATTAACGAAATAAAAGTGAAATTGACATTAAAAAGGGAGAAAGGAAAAATCTAAAAAAATGTCATTAAAATAAATTGAAATTTAAATAATTTATTTTGGACCAATAATCTATACAATATATTGGTTTTATAAACTAATAACGTGACGTAAAAACAAGAAACAGCAAACGTTTTAAAAAATTAAGGTCATTGAAAACCTTTCTCTGTGAATGTTACAAAAAAAGAAAAATACTCATTGGCTTATAAAGGTTAACGAAGAAAATTGATACAAAAAGTACAACAATCTAAAGAAGAAATAACTAATAATATAGCAGCAACAATGACTTTAAGAACTCAACGAAATATACCATTAAGGGATACCAATTATTCAACAACTCCCCATAGTGGTACAGTTCAAATAAGGAATAATAAAACTGCTTTAAGTAGCAGTAATAGCAATGGACAAACAACCAAAACTAAAATGTTGACATCGCCATCAAGCTCTTCAGCAAAATCAGCAAAAATGTGTGTAAATTTTAATAACATGTTTTCGCTGATGATGATGGTCCCCCAGTTGATAAGAAAATTTCAAGTACTACCACTACCGCCCAACAGGCCATACCACAATACTTGCAGTACACTACTCGTAATAGTAATGATAAGGGAGGCGATGATTGGATGAGCATGAAGAGAAGAAGAGGTCGGGATATAACGGAAGAAGAATGTCAGGAGGAAGGAAATGAAAAGAAAGGAAGGGGTTTAAGATTGAGAGGGGGAAGTTAAGACCATTCTAAAAGGCAAAAATAAAATCTTCATGGAAAAGAAGAGATGGAAGGCAAGGTTAAGGCCCGACATACAAAGTGGGCGAAGTGGGAGCGAAAAGGAGGGAAAGGGCCACGAGGAGAACGAGACAGAAGGGCAACGCGGGGACAGGAGGAGAGAGAAAGCGAGCAGCGAGCGAGCGACGAGCGAGCAGCGAGCGAGAGCGAGCGAGCGAGCGAGCGAGCGAGCGAGCGAGCGAGCGAGCGAGCGAGGAGAGCGAGCGAGCGAGCGAGCGAGCGAGCGAGCGAGCGAGCGAGCGAGCGAGCGAGCGAGCGAGCGAGCGAGCGAGCGAGCGAGCGAGCAGCGAGCGAGCGAGCGAGCGAGCGAGCGAGCGAGCGAGGCGAGCGAGCGAGCGAGCGAGAGCGAGCGAGCGAGCGAGCGAGCGAGCGAGCGAGCGAGCGACGAGCGAGCGAGCGAGGAGCGAGCGAGCGAGCGAGCGAGCGAGCGAGCGAGCGAGCGAGCGAGCGAGCGAGCGAGCGAGCAGCGAGCGAGCGAGCGAGCGAGCGAGCGAGCGAGCGAGCGAGCGAGCGAGCGAGCTAGCGAGCGAGCGAGCGAGCGAGCGAGCGAGAGCGAGCGAGCGAGCGCGAGCGAGAGCGAGCGAGCGATGAGAGCGAGCGAGCGAGCGAGGAGCTCGAGCGAGCGAGCGAGCGAGGAGCGAGCTAGCGAGCGAGCGAGCTAGCGAGCGAGAGAGCGAGCGTAGCTATCTATCTAGTCGATCTAGTCGATCTATCTACTATGCTATCTAATGCTATCTAGCTAGCTATCTAGGATGCGGATCTATTATTCGATAATTCTATCTACAAAAATCTTACAAAATTTTTTAATAGGTATATTTACTTTTAAAATTAACAAAAACTTCTTCCAATTCACTCCTAACAGGTACCCACCGGCACGAAGTCGATAAATTATTTTATCACCAAGTCAATGTAAACTGCAACCCGTGGCTTCAAATTCTTTGATCCCAAGAAACAAGTTAATGTCATCAACTTGCAACTGAACGATAATCAAATAAAAGCAAATGGCGATTGTCAGATGTTGATGCTGCCACAACGACGCAATGTTATAAAGCAGGACACGTGCCACACACACACTGTTTCGGTGAGTTATTATTCAAATTCAAAAGATTAAAAACAAAAAAAAATTGTATAAGAAAACATAAAAACACAATCAAATTGAAAGTAAATGCACACGGATATGAACAACAACAAAAATATGTATGTGGCAGAATGATGTTGTATGATGTATGATTTGCTGAGAAGTTCTTCCCAATGCTTTTAACAAATTTGATATATATAATCTGTCGATGATAGATATAAAATGTATTATTTTATTTTTAGTAACAACTCAACAGGGAGTGGAATGGGGTGGTGGGTATGTCGGAAAGTTTACCAGATGCCGACAAGATAAAAGCTTTGGCAACACAACTGTGTACAGGTTAAATTGCGTTTTTAAACATTCTAAAATGATTAAAAATTGTATTAAATGAAGCTTAGTAAAGTTGATTTAACTAGGATTTTAAATATGAGTAAGTTTTTTAAATACAGTTTAATTCAGATTTGGGCAATTCATGATAATTTCGGCCTTTAAAACGATTAGATTTTCATGAGGGCCTACGATAGATCTTTATGAAAACTATACCGAAATTTGGACATAAGGACAAATAAGACTGAAATCGTAAGAATCTTTAAGGACCCAGAATATATTTCTTAATCTACGACCACTAATTCAATATTTTACAAACAAAAAGATAAAATCACCACCCATGTTTTCTTAATGGCGTGCATACAAATTACAAACTATTTATTAAATCCTGTCAGGTTTGAGCTTAAAAGTTAAGAAAGGAAATATTTTATAATCCCCATTTAAAATCCTTCAAAATAACATCAACCTACGCATTTAACTTTTACACTCCACCAGAACTAAGAAAACAGAATGGAATGTAGCAGGGATGGAAAATTCAATACTATTGTAGTTTTTGTTCAGTAATAAAAATACAGCAGTAAACTTCTCTTAGTTATACATAGACTAGTCCGTAGATTATCCAGTATACTAATCAATAGACCAATCCATAGGAAAGACTGGACTGTGTAATATTTAATGAACTAGTCATAGACTGGTCATTGACTGGATAATGAACCAGTCAACTAGTCGTCAATAGAGTGGTCCAATAACTATATCGGTAATACTATACAATAAATAGATTAGTCCAAAGACTAGAAAAATAGACTGATCTTTGGACTAATCAGGATTCAATAGACTAGTGTGTATACTAGTTAGTGTGTGGACTAGTCAATTGATAATAGTGTGAACTTGTCAATTGATAAGTCTGTTTACTACTTAACAGACTAGTTTATGAACTATTAGTTAATAGACCAGTCAATAGATCGGTCCAAAAATCACTCGATACACTAGACCATCCAATAAACTTATTCATAGACTAGTCTGTGGACTAGTGGTTAATAGAAAAATCAATAAACTTATCCACAGACTAGTCAAATGTTTGATTTATGGAGTGGTCAATAGACCAGTCTGTGGTGTAGTATATAATAGACTAGCCCATAGATTACTAGAAAGATTAGTTAAACAGTGGACTAGTACCATATTTATATATATATAAATGAATATGTGTTTGTATGTTTGTTTGGACTTTATAGACAGCTAAACGGCTGGACGGATTTTTCTGAAATTTTCACAGTGCATTCCTGTATGTCTGGAAGGAACTATAGGCTACTTTTGAGTTCAAAATTTCAAGTGGGCGACGTGCCACGCCCACATTCAAAATAAGTATTAAAAGTCGCATATCCCAGAAACTGCAAGAGTTGGAGTCCTCAAATTTTGTATGTCCAACTTTGACATCCATAAGAATATTTTTGGATAAAATGGGAGGAATGACGATAGTGGGCGTGCCACCTTCCATATGAAGAAAATCTAAAATCAGTATATCTGAGAAAATATAACAGATAGAGTCCTTAAATTTTGTAGGACACACTTTAGAATCAATATGATTATATAAGAAAAAAGAGGGCATACTAGCAGTAGGGGCGTGGCACCCCCATATGAATGAAATACAAAAATTCGCTTATCTGGGAAACTATTAGAGTTAGAACCTTCAAATTTTGCACTTTAGCATCCATGTAAACATTTTGTGTAATAAATTGGCGGACTACCAATGGGGGGTGTTCCTCCTCCCATATGAATAAAATATACAAAATTCGTTTATGTGGGATACTAATAGAGCTAGTTTCTTAAAATTTTGCAAGAAGAACTTTAATATTCATCTGAACATTTTGGGGAAAAAGGGCGGATTTTATCAAGGGGACTTGGAACTTCATATGGGAAGTAAATAGAAAAATTCGTATATTTGAAAAACTATTACAGCTAAAATACTCAAATTTTGCAAGAACAACTTTAACATCCATGTAAATAAATTGGCGTTGTCGTTAGTGTGAGAAACTAATAGACCTAAAATCCTCAAATTTTGCACGATGAAATTTAAAATTTTGTTTGAACATTTTGGCGAAAATGGGCGGACTTTCATTAGGGGGGTTGGAACCTCCCATATGAAATAAGTATAAAAAATCGTATTTCTGGGCAACTATTAGAGCAAAAATCCTTTGAAGTCAATGTGAACATTTGGGTAGTATATATAGTATATTGGAATCTCCCATATGAATTAAATAAAAAATTCATATATCTGAAAAAATATAAGAACTAGAAAATTTTACATTTATGTGAACATTTAGAGAAAAATGGGCGGATTATCAATAGGATCTTGGGATCTCCCATATGAATTAAATACAAAATTTCGTACATGTGTGAAATTATTAATTTATATTAAAATTTCACAGATTTTATTAAAATCTAAATTAACGTTTGGAAAAATTGGCGAACTTGCAATAAATTGCGTGACATTCCCAAAGTGTAGAAAATGTATATCTGGAAAACTATTACATTTAGAATCTTCAAATCGTAAAGTGTTTTTATATACATTGATTTTAGGGTAGCAAAGCACACTGGGTATAGCTAGTACTAGTATAAACTAGTAAATAATATGTAGACCAATTATTACTTTTAATCCTAAAGTACTTTTTTTTAGAAACTTGTACCATTTTAAAATTTAAAATGTCCATATCTGCAGCAAAGTCTTTGTTCAATTTTAAATTATCTTTATCAAACTTCATCATTACGCCGATAATAGTGATGATGGTCGGCAGTCATCTACAGTCTTTGATAACAAGGGCCATTAAGTTGAAAAAAATAACAACAACTGCAGTAAATAAGATAATGTTAAATGAAGCTCTATAATTACCCTGATAAAAAAATATACCGCCTTGTAGCTAATGTTATTGTTGTTACTCATCATCATCAACATCATCCTGTCTGTCCCTCATCTTCGTTTTTCTTTCCTACGTAATTATAATAATCATGATTTGTATGATAATGATGAGGTTGATAGCTGATGTTACAAGCAAAAATATCCAGTCAAGTGGAAATTATGCTTAAAATATGAAAGGAAAATTTTTAAATCACAAAGAACCATTAAAAATAGATGTATGAACATAAATTCATTTAGATTAATATTAATAACAAAAACATTTTTTTTCCGTTTTATACAAAAGAATCATTTATCTTTTTTCAAATTTACTATAGCGAATCATCAGCTCAAACTTTGCCCTATTTACCGGGTGTTTCTAATCATCCTGAAGAATTGGAAAATTTAGAAATTTTTAAATTACCCACCATTTTAGCAGGAGATGGCCCTCCCGGTTTATATGAAGTGGAAGTTTTAGAAAGAGCACGCAAACGTTGGTCATTTGCTAAAGCTTTAAAAGAGAACTTTCGCAAGCAACTGCAGGAATCTAAAGAACAAGCTAAGCTGCAAAAGCATGAACATATTTTGGAAGCTTTTGAATGGGAGCACTGGATTGAGCGGGAGGAAGACATACAAGAGTGTCAAATGTTAAGATTGGAATTATTAATACGTATGTTTGATAGAAGAGAACGAGAAATGCAGACAGCTTCCCAAGCAAGAATACAAAAGAGCTGTGAGTTGATAGAAGCCAAAGAAAGGCAGCTCTTAAGAAAAATGAAATTGAGTATAATAGAGCTTTAAGACGTCTGGAGAGCAAACATAATAAACAGCCCCGAGTATGGCGTAAAGAACATATTACCCAGGAACTGGGAGATCCAAGTTCCGAATTTTATGCCCCCAAAATGCGCTATGGCGTAAATCCCAGCCGTAGACATTTTACTGCTTATAAAAAAGGTTTCAATATGCGTATGGATGATTTGGAGAAGAGAGCCGTTAAAATGGATGCTAAAAATCTAAAGTGTCCCTTTGCCAAACTCAGAGAATGGTCTAAGCCCAAAGAGGTCTTGCAGGAAGTGGAACAGAACTTTTGTTCGGAAAGCAATCTCAAAAAGTTATATGAAGTTTAAGGGTTAGTATTAAATTTCCAAAATACAAAGAATTTAGAATATTGTATTCGGCTATGATGAGTCATTTTAGATCAATTCACTAGAAATTTATTAAAATTATAGTAAATATCGAAATTCGGATTAAAATTTAAGTCACTTTCGGAAGAGTGCATTTCATAAGGTCTCGGGGTTATATCGTTTTTTTCAAATTTCATTAGTTAGTTAGTTAGTTAGTTAGTTAGTTAGTTAGTTAGTTAGTTAGTTAGTTAGTTAGTTAGTTAGTTAGTAGTTAGTTAGTTAGTTAGTTAGTTAGTTAGTTAGTTAGTTAGTTAGTTAGTTAGTTAGTTAGTTAGTTAGTTAGTTAGTTAGTTAGTTAGTTAGTTAGTTGTTAGTTAGTTAGTTAGTTAGTTAGTTTAGTTAGTTTAGTTAGTTAGTAGTAGTTAGTTAGTTAGTTAGTTAGTTAGTTAGTTGTTAGTTAGTTAGTTAGTTAGTTAGTTTAGTTAGTTAGTTAGTTAGTTATTAGTTAGTAGTATGTTAGTTAGTTAGTAGTTAGTTAGTTAGTTAGGTAGTTAGTTAGTTAGTTAGTTAGTTAGTTAGTAGTTAGTAGTTAGTTAGTTAGTTAGTAGTTAGTTAGTTAGGTAGTTAGTTAGTTAGTTAGTTAGTTAGTTGTTAGTTAGTTAGTTAGTTAGTGTAGTTAGTTAGTTAGTAGTTAGTTAGTTAGTTAGTTAGTTAGTTAGTTAGTTAGTTAGTTAGTTAGTTAGTTAGTTAGTTAGTTAGTTAGTTAGTTAGTAGTTAGTTAGTTAGTTAGTTAGTTAGTTAGTTAGTAGTTAGTTAGTTAGTTAGTTAGTTAGTTAGTTAGTTAGTAGTAGTTAGTTAGTTGTAGTTAGTTAGTTAGTTAGTTAGTTAGTTAGTTAGTTAGTTAGTTAGTTAGTTAGTTAGTTAGTTAGTTAGTTAGTAGTTAGTTAGTTAGTTAGTTAGTAGTTAGTTAGTTAGTTAGTTAGTTAGTTAGTTAGTTAGTTAGTTAGTAGTTAGTTAGTTAGTTAGTTAGTTAGTTAGTTAGTTAGTTAGTTAGTTAGTTAGTTAGTTAGTTAGTTAGTTAGTTAGTTAGTTAGTTAGTTAGTTAGTTAGTTAGTTAGTTAGTTAGTTAGTTAGTTAGTTAGTTAGTTAGTTAGTTAGTTAGTTAGTTAGTCGTTAGTTAGTTAGTTAGTTAGTTAGTTAGTAGTTAGTTAGTTAGTTAGTAGTAGTTAGTTAGTTAGTTAGTTAGTTAGTAGTTAGTTAGTTAGTTAGTTAGTTAGTTAGTTAGTTAGTTAGTTAGTTAGTTAGTTAGTTAGTTAGTTAGTTTGTTTTGAAGGAAAGTTACATCAGGTCCGAAGATAACCATAATAAAACGAAGGCCATTATCGATCACATTTACACTCTGTTAAAAGAAAATCTGGCTCATAACATTAATACTGACAGACTATTAACTGTACTACGGAGACATCCAAACAAAATATACCGCAATTTTTCTGAAATAAATTACACTTCTTCTTTCCATTTCAGAATCTCAGAGAATCCTCCCGAATGCAGAAATACACACCATTATGCTTAAAAGCGAAAGAGTCTGTTAAAACCGTAAAGCAAACAGTGGAAAATCCCCGCAAGCTTTACTAATACACATACCAAAAGACAATGATTCAACAACTAGTGCCAGCTCTTTAGCTGCAGATTCGAGATTTGCCTGGAAGGAAATGGAACATATAGAATCTATGGAAATATTACGCCGACAAAAACAAACTGAACGTCTGCACATGGAAATGGTGCAAAAGGAAATGCGTAGTGAAGAGTTAGAAAATTTAATAAGCTCGTATGAGGGCAATACAATGGTTGGCTAATGCGTTTTCTGTCCGAGGAAATGTGTCGCCTAAAGGAGCAACGAAAATTACACTTTTTCACCATGCTGGCTAAAAGAGAGCGTTGGCGTCGTGAGGCGGCCGAGGCAGGTTTAAGGCAAAAGAGAATTGCATGCGTGAGGAATATGAGAAACTCTATGAGGAATGTGAGCAAATAAATAAAGAAACAACAGATAAGTTTTTGGAATCTATAGTCGAGGTAGATATCAAAGATTATGCCGAGCAAAAAGCCGATCAGCAAGTTACAGCAATTGCCCGAGAAATGGATAAAGAAATTGCCGGTTGGCTAGAGTCCTTAAAGGAAGTTCAAAACCCTATGAACTATCATGCTCTTAGACACGCATTGAAAGATATTGTTATGCCCGATGTGGAAAAAATTATGTATCGCTTGGAACGAGATGACTGCATAGACTATATCATCAATGATGTTTTATTATGTAAAGTTTATCGTGCTTTAGAGTCTTATGATGTGTCATTTGGTATAGCCAATGAATTTGTAGATCGTCTTATAGACAATGATCTTTATCTTAACTCCCCCGATTGTAGTTCGGATTGTGAGTGCACAGATTATTGCTGTTGCTCTAGATCCCAACAAGAAGCTGCAGCTATTATAAGAAAAGTCATACGCTATGCAGTGCCCGGAAGACGTTGGCGCACCGAAGACGAACGTATAGCCTTTGAAAATGTTCGCGATTTATTGGATGATATTTTTGAAAAGGTCATACCAAAAGGTTCCATTATTTCTCTGGATATGCCAAAACCTTGCAGTTTTCATCAACATCAAGCTCACACCAATTTGGTGTGTTCAGAAAATGATATGATCATTGAAGATCTTTCCGAAGACAAAATATCTCTGGAGTGTTGTGAAGAGGTAAAAATTAAACGTTTAGGATCTTTGTGTAAATCTATGTCTGCAGAAGTTACCAAATGCTTAAAGAGTGGTGAAAGGTTATTGCTAGTAGATCCCGACCAGTTATCAGCAGATCGTTCGTTATTGAATATGGATGAATTTGAGGAACCAGAACCTCAGCCAGAGCCACGTAAAGTTCATATTGTACCCAGTACCCATTTTATTTCAAGTGATTTGAAATTTGCTAAAACTCCAATATTTGCACAAACCTCTTCGGAAGAACTTTTAGAAAGAATGCAATTAGAGCAGGAAGAAGTATGTGAGGAAGCAGTGAGGAGTGAATCTTCTCCTCTCTCCTATGAGGTTTACGAAGAGCAATCGGAGAGTTTGGAGGAAAGAGAAGATTTTGAGGAAGTGAAATTGAGGAAGAAGAAATAGAACTTGAAGAAGAACTTAAAGAGCCTTTGGAGCCACTTGATAAATCGCCAACTGTAAGTTTTATTGAAGAGCCAGAGGAGAAAGTCATAGAGGTGGATTCCATACAAGAAGAAGAAATTAAAACTATAGCGCCTTCTGGTGTACGTTTTATGGAACAGCCAGAGGAGAAAATCATAGTGGAAGAACCCATACAAGAAGATGATGCTTGGCGGTGTAATGGAAGTAGCTTTCTCCTATGATCCCACTGTTAAATATTCCGTTCCGGTGCCCTCCACTTATGACATTACGCTAAACGTTGAAAACGTTAAAAGATTCTGAGACAGACAATGAAGATAATTAGACATTTTTCGAAATATATTTTTAGTTTTTAATTAATTTTGTAATTGCTTATTTTTTCAATAAATGTTTTGAATATTTTGAATTCCCAAATTTCACTTACCTTTAATAGCTTTGCGTAATGTAACCAACTGGAACGTATTGTCGATAAGAGGACATTAAAACGTACCATTTCCTGAACTAACACCGATTCATGCTCTGATGATAACTGGTAGGATAACGATAGAGCGCTGCATCACGATCAAAATCTTTGGGTAAACGTTGCAAAATATCGGTGGCTACATTTATGACAACCTCTTCGGGTGACAAACGTTCTCCGCCGCCCTCGGCATCATCATTAGCATCGGCCCGCTGTATCCTTGTGAGAGTAATAGAGGGAAATAAATTCAGGACAAGTAGGACAGGTGGGTAGGAACATGTTTTCTGGATAACGTTTCGCTAGTGTTTCTAGGTAATAGGGTTGGGATTTTTTATATAACTGTGTGTATGTTTGTGAGTGTGTGTAAGGCCAGAAGAGAAAGCATGTAAAGAAGCATTAAAACATTAGTTAAAGCTTTATTATTAAAAGCTATAATAAACTTACCCGTTTTTCATGTAAATCCTGGGAGAGTTTAAAAATAGAAAAGGATTAAATGTTTAAAAATTTAAATTACAAACTAAGCTGAAACTTACCACACGATCCTGGAGAGCAGTGGAAATAATTAAGTAGATTATTTAACAATAACAATAAAACTTTTATAACTTGTAAGTATTGGGAGCTAAAGTAAACCAAAATTTCCACTTACCTGTGTTAATAGAGTATGACTTAACAACATATCCGTTTCCTGTTGATCCTTCATAATATCCGCATTAGCATGAAAACCAAATATGGCCGGTACAGTCTGTTGCGGTAACTCCTTGGTATAGTTGATATAATTTTCCACTTCCTTGAACACTGGTATATAATAAATCTGCTTATCATCAAAATAAAATGGCGTCTCTAGATCCAACACCTCCGGACAATAATATCTATTAAGTATAGTCTTCAAAGTACGACGATCCCAATCATCGGTAACACGGCCACCATAATTACATTCTCCCGTTAAATATCTCAAGGCATCATAGTTGACCCCCTCATATTGATCCAAAAACATTTTCAGTTGCATTAAACTTATACGCAAATCGGTTTCATTGAATTCATAGGGTATATTCCAGCCTATGGGCCCAAAGTAGCGACGCTCTTGTATAACCGCATGAAAGAAGCATAGGGAATATATGAGCTGCTTAAAGGTTTGATTTTGTTTACAAGACTCATACCACTCCGGATCTGAAATGGGATCTGACAGCATAGAACGCACCACATTGGACCTTAAACCTTTGGGTGGTTCATTGGTCATTTTTATGCCATTTTGCAATACCACAACCGGGAAATGTTCTGCCGGATAGGAAGTCAGCCATAAACGAAAATCGGGATGTGTGGAATCGGGTACCATGCCCTCACAAATCTTTTCCAGTTGAGGCCATAAAGCTTTTGGCTAAATGACAATTTTGTAAAACCACCCAATTGCCCAATTTTTACACCTTCATCTATCATTTTAACCGCTATGGGTCCCTGACCTTGGCCCAAAGATAAGAAAACAAACGATTACTGCCAAAACCCTGTTCATCAGCGAATTTCAATAAGGTAGCAGTAGGATCTGAACCAGGAGTCAATATAAATATCAGAGGTATACAGCAATGAGAATCAGCAAATGAGGCGGCCAAATCAAATTGGGGAGGTTCTACAAACTTTTCACCCATTTCCGAGGCCACAAAACCCAATATAGCAGGCACTAATTTATCGGGTCTAAAAACTCTCAGCAGCAATAATTTCTGAAACAAAGTCAAACGTTTTTGCCATGGCACAGGAATGGCCTCATTATCTTGTGGTGTGGCCGAGTCAAATAGCAATTTCCATTGCTCTATATTAGTCACCACATCTTCACGTAATCCTTTGAAATTACTCAACTCCGATAAACGGCATATTTCATTCCAACTTTGTATGCCCAACCATTTGGCTGGATTTTTGTGTGGGTTGTCCAAACCTATGCCGCCCGTTAGCAGAAACATCCATTCGGCATTATCGATTTTACCCTCTGATTTCATAAGATTTATATTCAAAATTAATGAAAATAATAGTTTATCCTAAAAGGAAATGAAGCAAAAATATTGCTATAATTTAAATGTTCTAAAAGGAAGTTAAAAAGGGAAAAAACTAAGATGTGTTAAAATACAAGCATAAACCCACTGTCCCTGTATGTTTAGCTCTATTTCTAGAGATAAAAGGCAAAGAAAAGGAAATAACGTTTTTTTACACAAAAAATTGTAAAGCCAATAGGGATTATTTTTGACTTAGTAGTGAATGATAGATAAACATTTTAAATCCCAACAGCTGTTGCCGTACTAATATACTTATGTAAAAGTATACGACGCATCCCATCTAGTTAAGACGAATGTTAAAATGGACATTATTAAATTGTATACTATATGTACGTATTTACGTTTAATAAGATGCTTAAGGTATTAATAACAAAATAGAAAGAGAAATAAAGTTTCATTGATGGTATTAAATTGTAAAATTTCTAGAAAATAAACTACAAGAAATCTGATATGGCCAATAATAGAAAGCAATAGTTTTTAGATCTTACTGCAAAGTATTCTTTTCTATTTATTATAGATTATTAAAGAATATTATTATTAGAAGATAAAGTATATTTTATACCTCACACCACTACACATCTATCCCAAAAATATGGACTTGAATTAGATGTTGAACTTAATCGCTATACTAAACCAGTTATGAGAGTTAAAGTAATTTTCTGAAGCGGACCTTATATGGTATGTAGAGTATATTATGGTCGGACATGCAGCAAACATTGCAATATAATTTCTGAATTGTGCAAAATTTTGTCACGATTGCTGAATATTTTATGACTTTTTAAACAGTATATTGAGGGACAACTTGTATGGGGGCTAGGTGAAATCATGGACCGATATTGCGCATTGTCCAAACAAACCGTAAAAATTGGGAATATTTATGCAGATGGACGGTCATGGCTACATCGCCTTAGAATTTAATACGGACCAAGAATATATGTAGACTTTTGTGGGTCTACGGCATGTACTTACTACAAACGCAATGATAAAATCAATATATCTCCCATTTTTTCTGATAGTGGGTATAATAAATGTAAAAGAAATAGCCGAGTGTGCCCGACCTTATGATATTCTTCAAGGGAGGGCTTTGTATGGACCTAGGTCCCAGGTTCTTCTAAGAAAAACTATCGATATCAATACGATAATTACGTGTGCTCGATGGATATTGATAGAAGGGTCTTAAGACATTTGAACCGATGAAATCATGAAACGATTTCAATAAAATTTATCGAGTTGTGTTTCAAATTGCTTTAAATAGTTGTCGTTTGTAAACACGTCCATGTAGGACGTTCATAGCTTTGTTGGTTAATGATCGTGGTAGTTTAAATCGCGCAAAATGTCAAGTAGAGTCGAAGGAACTCCGATTTGACAAGATCATATCACTCGTCCGTTGTATTGTATTAGACCAAACCTGAAGCAGTGAGATATCTCAGTAGGTCATTGATTCTAGATCCAGATAACTCTCCAAGGTAGGATATAGTGTAGTTGCCAAGGAATCTAAAAGTCGATTATTTTTTTCCTAGCATTGCGATTGCGTTAGTATTCATGGAAGGGAAGTTCAAGTCGATTTGCATGTCTGTGTAACACTCAATGTCTATTTATTGCTCCAAACAACTTCGATATGTCCCTTCGGTGACGGGTTGGGTTTTTATCGTAAAATCACTACACTAACTTGGCCAATTATTACACCTATTTTATTTTAAAGAAAGAATCTCAAGATATTAGTTATAATAGAAAGAAATAGAAAGAGTTCGCTGTGGAAATATTCAGATCAGATACTGTTCTTGCTAACTGTCTGCTTTACCAATAATGTCAGACAGACGACCCAACTACTAACATATTAGCAGTAAATATATTTCCAGGACTGTATTTTTTTATCTCCAATATACAAAGGGACTACCAAAATTTATATTGTTTTACTCAGCTCTAGAAAATCTTATATTCCCATCAAAACATGTGTAGTAAATTTCATATTAACATCCGAAGGTGGTCTATATATGGACTTATATTTGTTTTTATGGATAGATCCTTTTAGCATTTCCAAAATTTCCGGAAATGAGCCCTTTATGAAGCTTGCATTATTTAAGAACCGATTCCTAATGAATTTGAATGAGTGATTAATTTCATATATTATTTTATTAAGGATTGTTTAAAATGTTTTCCGGGGACTCCACCGGGGGCATGTCATCTCAATAATCTTCCCCATCTTGGTCTTATTCCAATTCCGGGGAAAAGATGTGCTACCAATACCTCTAGTTTGCCTGAACTATAAACTGGTGGAGTCAAATATATCCTCGGCCCCACAGGACAGAGTTTCGGACTTTGGTTTGTTATTGGGGAGTTTCCTTCGGGATGCACGTGGTGGCTGTGGTTTAAACACAAACTCGTGGGAAGAGAATGTTGGTTAAATACGGTAATGTATATAATTCGGAATAAGTTCGGAGCTGTTGCCGAGATAACAGATCTCGCAGAGAAGTGACTGTGAGACGAAGCGTTAAAAATTAGTTGGTCAAGTGTATATGATACGGGATGGATGTAGGCTGTGTTTGCCGGATGAATGAGAAGTGTGCTGGGTTGAATGGTGATCTTATACAAATGATACCATTAAGTTTCTGTTGCCCGGCTATGTTCAGGCTCTAAAAGTACCATTGTGAAATAAGGCCAACACGGCAGGTGTTCACGTAAAGCACTTCGACTTTTTGTATTCCGAGGACGTTTGGCAAATAGGTGAAATTGTTTACCGAAATTGCTTATAGAAATTAGTTATATTGAGAAAAGGTAATATTTATGGAAAATGTCTCATTTAAGACCTACTGAACTTTCTTATTGTCTTAGAGCCTTAGAATGTCCACGACCAATATTTCGATGTGTTGCAAAAGGAATGACAAAACTAATATACCTCCATCTCTTTTGATGATATAAAAAAAGTATACATACCTTAAGTTCTAAATTAAAAAAAGAAGAATATTTATCATATAAACCTTATAATTCCTTCAAATATTTGCTTCTCAAAAATTACAAAATTCCATGCACCCTCATCAAGTTTTCGTTAAAGAAAGAATACCACAAGAGAAATCTACATACATATGTGTTTTTTTCTCTCTGGCACAATACCATCCCAATAAATATGTACAATTAAAATTCTTTTGAAAGCTTTTTTCCATTTCATAAATCTCAAACAATAAATGAGGCAAGCAATGAATATAAAAATAGAACCCCAAAAAAAGGTAAGAAAATACACAAATGTCTTAAGTTTATCTCTTTTGTGTTCATAGCAAATTTGGGTAAAAAATGGAATGATTACATACTTCACTGCCTCCTTTTGGCTGTTGCCATTTTTCCTTTCAAAGGTAGAAAAACTTTTTTTTCTTATTAAAAACACTTATTTATACTCAAATAAATAGGATTTCTTTTCAACTATAGGAATCTGCAAATATTGGCATATTGAAGGAATGAATAATAGAATAAAATGAAAAACACCTTCGTATCTTTATAATGTCAATCATTAAGTTCTTCTTTTTAAGTTCGCTTTTATATCTTATAGATATAAATGAAAAGACATTTATCTTATTACTCGTATAATAATAAATCTCATTAATTTTCTGCTTTTTTAACACTACTACACTTCTTTTGATTTACGTAGAAAGACACTCAAATGAACCATTATATTTATTCACTGTATGTCACTTCGAGCGATACACATAGACATAGTAGTAAGTATTTATTTAAATAATTTAAGAATGAGTAAGAAGTTGGTATATTATTTCATACACTCTAGGTTAATTGATTGAAGAGAAGTGTTTAAGATTAAACAGAACAAAATTTTTAAATTAATGTTAGCAGAACCATAAATGACCTATAATCGGTAATCAGTTTTAGTTCTCATGTTCTATTCTTGTTTTAACACATAGAAACATTGGTCATAGACCCACAGAGATATAGATATTTTTGGTCCTTATTACATTCTAACATGATTTAGCCATGTCCGTTTGTATGTTGAAAGCACTATACGGTCCGAACAAAAAGAAGTAGGGAATTCAAATTTTGAAATATTCCCTATAGGCAAGATTTATTTGGTATTGAATATAGGCAATATCGGTACACGTTTCCATAGAGCCGCCATACAGGTGGCCCCTTTCATTCATAGTTATATAGTTAGTTTTAAAGGAGAATGTATATACATCAAATCCGAATGCGTGGAAATCGAACCCACCACCTCCGGTCTACCAGACTAGAACACTAACCACTAACCTACCGGAGGCCACATTCATAACTGTTCTAAAATTAATGTATAGCAATGAAATTCGGCATAACCAGTTTTATACAAACCAAAATCTCTTTACCAATCTTTGTGGGGATCGATCTATAATCGACTCCACCCCCACATATAAGGTTCCCTTCAGAAAATGGCTCCAACACTCATTACTAGCTTAAAAATTAAAGTACAGATAATAAATTCGATAAAAACTTGTTTTATAAGAACCGAAATCTCTCCTACAAGTTTTATGACGATCGGTCCATAATTGACACTACATCCTATAAAAGGTCCCCTTCTGAAAATAACTTTAACGTGCATTACTGGCTTAAAACTATGAGAACAGCTATACAATTCAGCTATGAATAGGAAGAAAATTCCTCTACAAATATCTCTAAGAAGCTTTATGAAGATCGGTTCATAAATGACCCATTCTCCTATATAAGATCCCTTCAGAAAATGTCTTTAACACTCATTACTGGCTTAGAACTATGAGTACAGCAATGAAATTGCTGTATTATTAAACAAGTTTAATACGAACGAAGATCTCTCTACCAAATATTATAAGGATCGGTTCACAATTGACCCAACCCCTCATATAAGGTCCCCATAAGAAAATTACTTTAACACTTATTACTGACTTAAAAATACGAGAGACGAGCGATACGTGCGACACAAATAAGTTTAATATGAACTTAAATCTCTCCAATAATTTTAGATCCTGCTCCTCATA